AGAGAGAGAGAAAGAGAGAGAAACCCCCCCCGGGCCAGAACACGGAACATGGGCAGAAATCCCCTCAGGCCAGAAGTGTCAGGATAATTGACAGAATTCGTTCATGTAGCAAAATGCTAGCCACCCCAGATCGGGCGACTAGCCACTCCAAATACATCTTGAGCATAGATACGCAACTGATACCACACGTATGTATACAGTATACCCCATCTCATCATAATGGCAGTAAAAATTGGCTTCTTGTGCATGAAATAGATTCAAATTATTTTAGCTATCTAAAAATAGAGCAGTAACACAGTATATATGAAGTAAACAAACAAAACACTCAGGACATACATTCAACAAAATACAACTTTTATTGTGCTGAAATACATTATTAAAAAAGAATTGTCCATAAGAGGCTTTCAAAAATCAAGCAGTACTGTACAGTACTGTACATATCATGTATTAAAACAAGGCTATACTATAAAAATGGGGTCATATATTCAGCCACCGTGATTTAGTACTTTTTTCACAAAAACATAATTTTTGTGCCAGTTGTTAAGAATTAGGAACACAAAGCTAATTCCATTACACTGAATTTTCGTGACATTTTTTAGAGTATGATGTGGTCCTAATAATATTAGTCCTCCAGTACAATCAGAGTTATTTATATTTCATACAAAAATCTAGAAGCAAAAGCTGTGCTGAGAAATTCACAGTGTGGTGGTCAAGGTACCTTTGTCACTATATCGAACTAAGAATGTAGTGTCAATGGATTTCGCCAATGAATGTTATATCATGATCTTAGAACAGATAGTTCTGATATAATCTTCTCGACAGTGAAGGATTTGCAAATCATCTTTCGTATCCTAAGGAGAGAATTTGACACCTTACCTCACCACGCACATTTGGTAGTTTCATCTTTAACAGTGTTTTCAAGGCCAAAGTAACCACAGCTAAAAGAAATGGTGCATGTCTTACGGTCCAAATGATTGCCAAAGTCAGATGGTTTTAAAGCGCATATTGTACGTGAGGACAACATCCTGGGTCATGATGTTTCAGGAACAGTGTACGGGATCTGTCATGAAGGGGTTAATGTTGTTCAAACACATTTCGATGAGCAATTTAGTGTGTGGTAGAGGCTAACCCATTTTGTTACCTCTAGTGTTCCTGTTTCTGAAGTCATTTATATTTAATGGTCTCTGGGAGCTTTATATCAATAATTGTCAAAATTGTTGTTCCAACACTTATTTTATTTCAAGAATTTAATGAAAACTATAAAGATGTATAAGCCTAAGCCTAGGGCTGCTCTAGAAGGGATGATGTAGCATAGCAGCAGTTTGTCATCACAGTCAGATTACAAAATGGGAAAATCATGAAAAGTTAAAAAGCAAAAAGAACAAGAAGTAAATGTCTGTAAAATGGAAAAAAAACAACAACTGACTAATGTTGCTTGACTGTCTTTTAAGGCTGAGGCATTCATTTTTATTGCTCAGCTGACTTTACATGATTTCTTATTAAAGATGTACTTTTCTCCCCAGAATGAATATTGTGTTTCTCAAAATCCTTATTTTGACAAATCAAAGAAATTCCACCTCAAAGAGTTCATTATGGAAGGGTTCATTGCTCTTTTGGCCGCACCATGTACTGACTGACAATTGGTGGCTCTGACACGTCTACGGTGAGGTCCACCTTGTTCATGGCAGTGGGCACGGACATGCCACCTCCTCGTAAGCCCTCCAAGAACACTTGGGGTTTGGAGACGTTACTGTAGTTGTCACGTTTGGTCTGCGTATTCTGGTCTCTGGAGATGACATAAGAGAAATCCCAATTAAAAATGTGGTAGGGTTATCATAACACATTCTGTTTTTCCCCTTTCCTAACTGTTTCTCAAAATTTGTGATGATCCCCACAAACAGATCAATAGAGTTCTGGTTATTTTAAAATGTTGAGTTGTTCAACATCCCTCTAGACTCGGTCCATTGATGAGAGAACAAAAGTAAAAAGAGATGAAGGAAAGACAACTGAAATACCGGTACAAACTAAACATAAAACGACACACGTACGCCTACTCTATTTGAGTCATAAAAGATCATGTATTTTTATCCCTATTTAAGGGGTCAGACCTCTTGCTGATGCACTGTGGATCATTTTATGACCCTGAAACCACAGGCAGGATCCAGCCTTATTGTTACTTAAAAGTCAAAACAGTCTTGCGTGTCAATGCTTTGAATACTTATTGAACAGCATAAGAATGCAATTGCTTATGACACGAGAAGTTAAAAAGAGCTGTAACAGCTGGAGACCACTGGTGACCTGCCCTCTAGCACGACACATTGATCCAAATGTACAGTACAGCTGACAATGCACAGCAGGGACCAAGTGTGAGTGTGGTTTGAAACATTTACTCTGAAATGATGATAGAGTGAGCAACTGAATGAAAATAAGCAATGGAAACCTCGCCACTTAGACAGTTTTTTTTTTCAAAGATTTATGGATGTGTAAAGGAGACCATCAAAATATCATTGAAACAAACTGTTAATGAGTAACTTTTAAATAAAAATTACAAAATGAAATCAAGCGACTTCTATAACCCACCACATCTATATTATATGTATTATGTAGTTGTAGGCTGTTTGATCCAGAAAGAATTAAACTATGGGATAAACCAATCAGCATAAAAATATAGCCTACATGGGAAAACAAAGCTGAGCCTTTGGCATAACCACTCGGTCAAAGACTCCTGTTTCAAGGCAAGTCAAATTGCATGAACCAATGTTTAATGTTGAAACTGCCAAACACGTGATTCAAATATGTATTATATAAATCCTTATTGAAGATTGAAATAAGTCAACGGGTCAAGATCACAGGATCACCAGTTCCTTTTTTAATACAATTATCACAAACATTTCCAATTGAAAAGGAAAAATGTTATTAAATACATGACAAAGCCTCAAATGGATCCCCCAAAGGAGAAGAGGAAGAGAGGAATGCAGAGATCCACCTGGGAGTTAAATTTAAAGGCAGGTCTTAGGCTTGTGAGACACAGCTGGCTGGAGGTGGAGAAGATATCAAATACCAGGGTGAGAGAGGCAAAACAAATGGTGAATATTATTTTATGGCTTCTCCTACGTTTTGCATTGTATCCTTTACTGTGTCATAAACAAAAGAAAGAAAGAAGGGAAAACCTTATTATTGACCCCCAAAGGGAACCCGTATAAAAAAATTCAGCATAGTGATCAATAATGTAACACCATAAACTGAATCAGTAGCATAGCACTGCTGTTGGCTTCTGAGCAGCAGCCTATTTTTCAGCTACGGTCAACATATCTTGCTTGAGGACAAACTCCAATGATCACATATCTAAGCGATGTCACTGCTAGACATTATGTGTGACCCTAGATTGCCACTGAAGCCATTAAAGTATTAGAAGGCATGGCTGGATGTTCCCATCCTCATGCTGTAGCTAGTTCACTTTGTGTTAGCACGATGACTGCTATGGACTCTGTGGTTTCACATGCGAATGGGAAATGCATGATTCTATTAACATTTGTGAAGGTAGTTCTTTTACTAACTCACTGAGCTAACTGAGCTATATTTCACCCAACAACCATCCCAGCCTGACAGTCTTGAGGTAGGCCTATATTAATTCGTTAACAACAAAAAGACTGAAAGCTATCATAATAAAATATTTAAAACGACACTAAAGAAAGAAAGAAATACTCTCCCCGAAAAAAACTGCATCTGATTTGTCCGAACAGTTTTTATTTTTTCAATATTTTGAAATGACAATGACGCAATTTAAAAAAACACACCCAATTTACAATATAATCATCTATCGCAATGCGGGGGTGACTGGTAAAAAAGTGTGGCACAAAACTTCATCAAATTTTAAATGAAATGAAACAAGCAGCTCAACTGTTGGTTTGCCGCTTCCCGAAGCTAGATCTAGTAACTGAAAAACACTGGAGATGTCGATCGATAAAGCACATCCCGTAGTCAATGGGCCAGCGGCGCATCTCGTAAATACAAGGGAAAAGGCTCAAGTGAGTTCAACAAAAAGGTTACTTATAGTGACCTGACATACAGTGGAGCCATAATATTACCTCACATATGAGCCCGAGCTATTTTTCACCCAACAACCAATACAGCCTGATAGTGTTGGGGAACATAACCACAAAAAGAGTGTGAAAGTATCATAATTATATTATTATTAATTTTATAAAATGCAAAAAAAAAGAAAGAAACGCTCTCACAGAAACGGAAAATTGCACCTAATTTGTCCTAATAGTTTTTATTTTATCCCTAAGATTAGACTTGGCGGAAGAAGAAAGCTATTTTGATACCTACTTTCACTTCCACTAACCTACAACTCCAACTGTTCATTGCCTGATCTACATCCTCTGTCCATAGATCTAGCAACTTAAATTCTCGTATGTTTTGACTGACATTGTGGGAGCTTTAGCCTTCTACTTTTAGTTCACAATCAGACCTTTTAAATGCTTCAAACAAGTTTCATTTATGACTTTTTGAGGCTATCTCCACTCTAAAAATGATTGCGACTTTGTTTCCGTACCCAGAGCTTCTATCGCAATTTAGGGGTGCCTGACTAAATCCGTAACAGCTAAAAAAGTATCGTGTATAACTTCATAAAACTTTTCACGAAATGAAACAAATTGGGGGTCAACTGCTGGCACTTCTCTTGCTTGTTTAAAAAAAACCCACCATAGATATCAATCTATAAAGCGCAGGCTGTATATACGCGGGATCTGGCCACCGGGCTGGCATTCGCGTCTCGTAACAGGAACTGGCTCAAGTGAGTTAAAACACAGTGCATTGTTATTATGACTTGCTAGCTATCATAGGAATGAACTAAGCATTACGGGCCTGCTTTGATACAAAAGGTGTGCAATACCTGCCACGAATCCATTTATCTTTTTTATGTATCACTTAGCATTAGATGTGGACAGAACAGCCAAAACCATAAAGCAGGGAGTGGAGCAGAATGAGAAAGTATGCTGTTATGTGTTCACTGCTAACAGCATGTATCTTTCAAATAGACAAATGTATTCAGCGGTTGACATTGGGCAATGAGTCTGACACTTACTTTGGCAGATACACTTGAGTTTCATTGTCTCGCCGCATGTTGCTTCCATGTGTCTGCATAGCATGGGTCACCTTAGTTCTCAAGTTTGCCTGAAATATATTGAAATGGGGTCCTTATGAACACAGGCATTTGTAATGTATAAATCGCACGAAAAGCAGAAAAAAGTATTTGACTATTGAAAACTTTATTATTTCACTTTTAGTACAGAGTATTGTCCACAATGACTTTCTATCAATGATCAAAACAGTACAAGACAAACAGTCAGTAAATGATAATGTTGTATATTATAGACATGACTTTCTGTGGCTTCTATTGCACGACTCCATATCGCCATATCAAATTGGTCTTAATCCTTTTTTTAGCCCTGCTCCCAGAAGCCTTCTGGACCTGTGCACCTAAGATCCCTTGGTTTGCATGCTAGATGAAGTGTGCACTAGGGGCCTCACCATTAACAGATTAGTGGTCATAGTAGGGAGACTTTTTAACCACTGACATTATACAAACTCAAAGAAACTACTTTCTTTCATTGGGCCATTAAAGGTAAAGAATAATAACTCTGACAGTCTCAAGAGTACTATTTTACATTCATCACAGCCTTTCAAAGATATCCCAGAACACTCTAAATTAGATACCAGCCTCTATTTTAAGAAAGTTCCCAATGTTACACAGGATCATTTTTTAAATGAAAACTTAGCCTGAGAAATCTCACCAGTTTAATAGCTTTCCTCCGCAGCTCCCACTCATTCCACTCATATGTCTTTACAATGTTGGATTCTAGGATGTGAGTGTCAGTCTGAGATGCACTATCACACTTTGTCACAGGCTTTTCAATCATTTTGCCTGCTTCTCGACTCTGGAAAATAATATTATAAGTGTAGTACAGCAGGTATCTGACGAAAGATCCAACCTTGCAAAAAACATTAAATATTACAGTGCTGCTTAAGGAGAAAAGTAAATGCCAAGACTTTATGACAATGATTAGAAAAGAAAGGGAAAACAAGTGAGCTGATGTATGTAAGGGTGGCAGAAAAAGTGAAAGTAGCCTATGAGTGTGAACTGAAGCATGTCTGTAGAGGTTGTGCATTTTTTTCTCCAAATAATGATGTATTACCACACAAGCACATGTTGTCTGTGTCTGTCAGTGTGTGTGTGTGTGTGTGTGTGTGTGTGTTTGTTTGTGTGTGTGTGTGAGTGACTGTATGTGTATGTGCGTGTGTGACTGTGTGTGTGTGAGTGTGTGTGTATGTGTGTGTGTGTGTGTTCATATGTGTGCGTGCACACAATACGCTGATGAGTTTTTAAGTCAGATATCTCCAGTGTGTATTACAGTGGAATCCTGTTATAACGAGAGGTATCGAGGGGACCGGAGCAAAAATGTCCACTATAGCAGGATTCTCGCTATAAGGGATCTAGTAATAAATTAAAGGGAAACTGTAAAGTAGGCCTAATCTATGAGTTTGTTGTTCTGTTTATTTCCTTTTGCTATCTCCCCTGATGATGATTTTGTTTCAACATGACCTCTAGGTTTTACTTGATCAAAAATCGAATCAGGTTTCTTTCTCTAGCGCTAGATCTAGCGATGTTGACTGACAGCTTGGCGTTGGCGATCAGAAAGAAAGGGCTCTGGGCTAACTCACCTGCTGTGTTTTCCCCCACCCCACCACACCCTGTGGTGCATTCCGTCACACATTCACTCCATCCATCACATTGCTGTGACCTCTCCATCCCCGCATCGGAGAAGAGAGAGGCATCGTAGGCCTTGATAATCTGAACTAGGCTTACACTGGCCTATCACGTGATGCGTTCTGCTTGTCTGCGCATGCCACACCCTCCCTACTCAGTCGCTCCAGCCTTCATTGTTGACACACATGGGCTCACCCATTCTTTGTTTCGCTAGATCACCAACTAGTTTCTCAACTGGCGAGGTTTTACATTATGTATAGTTGGCCCATGTACTGCGCACAGCAGCAGCAATATTCTGCTATAAACGACTCGCGTGTTTGTTTGATAGCGCTATAGCAGTATTTTATTTACATAGAGGTAAAGAAGATAAAAAAAACAGGGTTTTAGAATAGTGTCTTTATAACGACTTCTCTTTTTTTCCGGACTCGTTGTAGGTGGACTCCACTGTATTTTATAGCTCAAGTTGAAAGCTCATGAAAAAAGAGGGAAAGCTTGCTGAAATACCTGTGAGTATGGTGTTATGGTAGAAAACTGTGTATGTAACTCAAGAAGCTGGATCAGTTCAGGGCTCTTCTTTGCACCATCAGCCACCATTGCTATATATCTGGAATTAATAATAAGTGAAGTCAGGTGGAAGAATAATACATATCATCATTTTTCACATTTCTACTGCAAAAATGAAATCCAAAACAAAGACCCATTTAGACATAAGGACAGTATCACGTTTTTCACACATCTTGAAAAAAAAAGAATCCTGAAAGATTTCACACTCCCATTCCTTTCTACCTTCTGATCTTCATATAATTCTTTTGGGCTTCCTTTCCCTATGATCTTTAATCCTTAAAATCTTTAAAAGGTACCATAATGTGGGTGGGGGAAGGTACAATTCCATCACTGCTTCGACACCAAAGTATTCAGCAGTTATATGTAATTGCACATTTAGGGTATAAGAGAGGAGAAGTCGATTCTTTTCTCTCAATAGTGAGGGGAAAATGCTTGTTTATTAGCCTGCAGCAGGACCATGTCATATAAAATTCAACTGAAGGCTCAAGAAGTTCTAACCAATATATAAGAAGCTGAAAATTACCAAAGCCATGGAATAAATAACAAAAGCAAGAACCTATACACATCTATAATGCTTTATTTACAGTAAAATTGATTGCTAACACACTAAGGATAAGTGTTTGTAAAAGTCTGCAAGCAAGCCAACATCTATTTAAATACACTACAAAGTAAACAAGTAACTGTATAATAAAAACCCATGTAGTTCATTATGCGAAATAAAACCTTTCACTCGGTTTACATTGATACTTACAGTTTATCTTAAATAAGATGTTATCATAACGAAATTTGTATTCAAGTTCCAGGGATCCTTTGAAATTTAACTCTTTGTTGAAAGCATCAGAAGGTATTTGATTTAGCATACATAATATTATATTAATAACCAAACATCTTTAAGTATTGGGCAATGTTAAAAGAAACTAAATGCTCATTATGTGAGGAAATCTTACTCTTGAGGATTCTGAGCAAATTCATAAGCAGCGTCTTTCGATGAAAAGGCATAGTAGTGCTCTCTGAAACGCAAGACACCAATCTCAGGGTTGGCAGGAAGGAGCAGTCTGTCATATTTCCCCAGTGAATAAGCACAGTAGCCCTGCAGGAGACAAATGTTTGAGTAATTAAAAAAGCAGTTGGTGCACGGGTAGAATTTGCATTAAACTACTTATCCTCCTTCTACTTAAGCACTAAAACTACTTATCCTCCTTCTAAAACCTTTTCATATATTGTGAATTACTTCTTTTTTTAAAAATTGAAAGCTCCCGACTGATTGCAGGGCTGCTAACTAATAGATTTCTTGAAAGAAACTAGCAACACTCTCCTGTCTACCTTTTCTGAAAACAAAAACAGGAGGTTCCAATTGATTCCCCTTTACCTCCCCAATTAGGCTTTGCAGAAAATCCTGTAACACCACAGGAACTATAATATCAGTTATTGTTGGAACCATAAAAGAAAAAGCAGAGCAAGCTGTTCCAAGACCCATTTATTCCCTACAATACTAAAGCATTTGATTAACAACCTAGATTGCTAATAATTCTCTTATATGTTGTCATTATCAAAATCATAAAAATATACAGAAAAGCCGCTTAAAAAAAACTGAACATGGTTAATCAGAAAAGAACAGTAAAGTGAAAGAAAATAAAATCCCCGATCTTTTTTCTTTGTAAGAAACTACAGAGTGGCCAAATTTCAAGGGTTGGGTCGACTAGATCTTCACTGGCAACCTTCAAGTAACACAAATTGTCATGTCTTATGTGCTTCAGGACAGTGAGACAGGAGAAAGAGATACGAGAACCCACGATTGTTGAATGTGGGCCAGAGAGGGGCACCGCAGGTGTCCTGTTTGCTGACTTTTATCATACACAACAATAGATCTATACACTGCATATAGGCCTAGCGAAGCAAGGATGGCGATTGTGTGTCAACTACGTGACCTTGAGTTGGCCATGATCTAATATATTGTCTCTGCAAAGTAAGATAACAAAGTCCTTCCACATGAGCATGTGACCGCATGTAGTGTGTTTCATGATGTCACCGGCATTGGGCTTTCTCATTTCCCTTGCCTATCGCAGAGCACAGTACAGTGTGCTGATCTACTCTCTCATCAGTCCTGTGTAACAGTTCAGCAGATTAAGAGGGCACAATACGTTGGCCTACAGCCTGCAACTCAAACTACAATTACTGAGAGAGGTGGATAAGGAAAAAAATTTCAAAAAGTAAAATTTATAGCAAGCATGGATTTCCCAACTCTGTGCTATCAACAATCATTGCTATCTGAGCAACCCTTTCTAAACTGAAAACAAAACTAAACCAAAGAAAATCCAGTGGTCCGGCAGATTTCGTTTATGTTGAATCATATATTCCCCAAAATGCTTATAAATACTACATTTATGAGCTGTAGAAAATAATGACAACAATTATCCCACAGAAATAATTTATGTAGGACCTACTGAAATAATCCAAAATCTGATTTTTAGAATTTTATGTACGCACCCTGTACTGGAGGCGAAGCTTTGCAAAATTCTTTGTGGTATCTAAGAAGAGCCAGTCGTGACCTTCCACTTGGTAGTCTTTGGTGTTCACCCTCTGTGAAGATGTCTGTGGAAAAGGAAATATAAACACAACATGGATGATTCTTGCGTTTTATCTGTGATGTTTACATGAGGATGCCATTTCAATAACAATGATAGCTTTATATCATTTACTGCATATTCAGGACAAAGTTTCACTTTTCTGCAAGTTCTTTGTAAACATGCACACTATACTCCAATGAACAGACATACTGTGCAGACAAATCAGCAGTGTCTATTTTTTTTGGTATTAGTGCATGATGTCTAAAGTGAAAATGTTTGGAAAGTTCAGGTCAGTTAATATAAATCAGATTTGGCATCTTGGCTCTTCAAACGTGAAGAACAAACAGTACCTTAACTTGAGGATTTAAACTTTCAGTGAATATGACTGTAATTCAAAGCAGGTTAAACTTGATTTTTACAATGAAGGAATAACGAAATTTTCTTTGACTGATGTTCAAGCTTGTTTTATAAAATAATTTCTTTACTGCTACTTTACTGAACAAAGCTTCAATTGTTTTCTTTCGCTCCATGAGTCTAAAGCCCTACTATAACAAAAAGCTTTGATCTAAAAGCAGGGAGATGCTGAGGGCTCTAGGGTAAGGTTGAGTTTTCGCTCTGTAGATAGCTCAGCATGAAAAAGAGCCAGACAGAAGACACAGAAAATGCCACCTTTATGAGAGAAAGGTTGTGGCTTACTAGTAGTACTAAATCAGTTGGGGATTTTGTGATCCTTGTGACTGCAGATGACTTGTAGCCCCCAGCCTGCGCTCGAAGTACAATAACTTTGAAGGCTTGAAAAAAACAAATCTCAACAATCTCAACATGATTTTATATTTGATGTAAAGATGCATGCTCTGATCATGACCGGGCCAAGCTATCTTCCTTTCATACAACCAGCTTACGCCAAATCCTCAGAATCTTCGGGCTCGACAAGATTTCCAACGCAGATCTGTTACGTAAATGTAGACAAGAGGACATGACCACCATAATAAAAAGGAAGAGATGGAGATGGATAGGACATGTTCTGAGTAGAGAACCAGACTCAATTGGGAAGACAGCCCTCCACTGGACACCCGAAGGACGTCGCAAAAGGGGCAGACCCAAAGTGACCTGGAGACGCACAGTAGAGTCTGAAATGAAATCCTGGAATCATTCGAGGGGAATGCTGACCAAGATGGCCCAAAACAGACAGAGCTGGAGATCCTTTGTTGCTGCCCTAAACGCCAGATGGCGTAATGGGTAGTAAGTAAGTAAGTAAAGATGCATGCTGTTTGGGGACTCTGATCCCTTCCCCCCCACACATTACTTTAAGTGATCATGAGTAAACCAGAAATACTATTCAACACAATGAGTGTTTCTTTCCATTAGAAATGTAAAGAGCTTACTTCTTCAATTCGCTCTTTATCTGTCTTCACTGACAAACCTTCTAGGTAGGGAACAAGAACATCATCACTGAAGAGTTCTCTGTGCCCCTGAAATGCAGACAACATATTTTTTTTAAATCCCAGAAGATAGGCAGAGAGAAATATTGGTATATATATATATATAAGTAGACAAAAACAGATACAAAAAATAAATCACACAGAATCAGTTAAAACAAGTTTCATGTTGTGACATTATCACTGTGCAGCTCTTTGTTTTTGTGAAATAGCAAGCAATTTATTTTCTATCCCAAATGGTATGCTAATGGGAACATTGGTAAAAAAGGGAAGTTAGAAAAGATCATATAATGTATCAAATGAAGTCCATTAAAAAAGAGAGTCTGAATTTCAAAGTTCAAAATCAATCTGAAATAATCAAATTTTGTGTTCACATTGGACTTAGTATGAATGAATTAAGAGAGACAGCCTTGCAAGTAAAGGACTCAGACAGATGGATATCATAATCATTAGAGCACAAAAGGTGTCATGCCTTTATTTTTGTTGAAATGTAATGCTACATTAGATAAAATTCATATTATTTCGACAATAGAAAAAAAAGCCCCAGAGAAATTAATAAAAAGTAAAAGAGACTAAAAGGAAAAGACTAACAGACAGACAGACGGACGAAAGGACGGGCAGATACATGGATAGACAAATATGGAGAGAGAGAGAGAGAGAGAGAGAGAGAGAGAGAGAGAGAGAGAGAGAGAGGAGAGAGAGAGGAGGGGAAATGAAGTGGAGGAAGAGAGAGAGAGAGAAAGAGAGAGAGAGTGAGAAAGAGAGAGAGTGAGAGAGAGAAAGAAAATAGAGAGATCAGAAAGAGAGAGAGAGAGAGAGAGAGAGAGAGAGAGAGAGAGAGAGAGAGAGAGAGAGAGAGAGAGAGACAGGCAGACAGACAGACAGACAGACAGACAGACAGACAAACAGAGACAGATTGAAAGAGAGAGAGACAATGACAGAAGCACAGGGAAATAGAGAAAGTGAGAGAGAAAGAGAGACAGGGAGGCAGAGAAAAGAAAACACGGCGTCCGAAATTCCGTCTCAGCGATCTTTTAGTTAGTCCGGGCCCCCCGCGGTAGGCCATAAATCACCAGCAGGTGACCTGCAATTTCACGCGTCAAGTCGGTGATTGACCGGGGTCAACTCGTGCACAGCGCTGTCCTATCTTGTCCTTATCAGAACGCGTTTCTTCCCCTAATTTCATGAGCCGTAAAATGATGCTCACTTTACCCCTAGGATCTACTTCTTCACCAATTTCGCTTCGTCTACGTCTTCTTGGTATGTTGTGAAAGTTTCAACAGTTTTCATTGATTCGTTTGGGAATAATAACAGTTTTAAATTGTGAGTGTTAAGTGATTGGAAGTGCCGTTAATAATGTGATCTCTTCAAATTTAATTACAAATCATTTGAAAATGAAACGTTGGTGTTTATTTCTGTTTGCGCGGTGTGATAGCCATCAAATCATATTTTCTAATGATGTGAATTTTGTTTTTCCAGCACTTTGCAGTGACTGGCAATCAGTTAGTGAATTGTGTTCCGAAGTAAAAATTGTTAAACTGCAATGGGTCACACATATGAGAGGCATAGAGTCTCTGAATGAACTTTGTCGGGTGTGTTGGCATTTAAACTTAACTGTCAAACAAAAAAAGTACAGAAAGCCCCGATTATGTAAGACAATGGCAGGAGATATTCTCTAGGGTTTATGGGATTGATGTGAGGGACGAAGATGAACAGCCGTATTCCGCTAACATTTGTGTCAAGTGTTTTACCGCGATTTCAACTATCAAAAGGAAATATGGTGTTACGTCACGTCAATTCAGGCCGCAAACAAGCTCTAACACCAGTAGGAACATGTGATGTGCGTTTGACAATAGCATAACCGTGAATTCCTTCTTCGTTTTGTCGGCACCGCTAGGGTGGCTGCATACAAAGACCCATTTCAAGCAAACATCGCAAAACACCCCAAGCATACCTCCCTCCATCCCCAAGTATGCAAGGAACTAACAAACACAATTTATACACAAACAAGAAAATACTCCCCCGAACTGCAAAAAAATGAGGAAGCACGTGGACAGGAAGCAATATTCAATCTTCTCAATGAAAGATTTAGCCATGTTCACGCTGCAATATCAAATCTCAAACCAGTCAAACAATTTTCACTTCCAGAAATCTCTGTAGTAATCGACAATTACATGGCTGCATTCAGACGCTATTTCCCCACAAAGTTATCCCAAAGCAACACATATCATAGCAACACTGTATTCCACACATACAACAACACATGTTTGCTCTTGGGCTTTTAGGAGAACAGGACACAGAAAGCAGCCACCAAGCGATCTCAAAACTGGAAGCCAGAGTACGGAGGATCCCAAACCAGATAGACATAATGTGTTTTATTTTTGTGTCGCATCTCCTGCAAATAGCTCCCTCATTGCGTGCTGCTGGATATGTTTAGAAAGAAAAATTGTATAAATTTATACTTTTATTCCGTACATGTTCATTTTGTGAAAAGAAATCGGTGCTGTATATTGAAGATACGTCAGTATATCATTATTCAGGAGGATACACATTTCATTGGATACAAAAAGTCATGAATGCAGGGATGTGTTTTGGCTATCATGCTCATGACAAGTTCCATGTTCGTGCTGGAAACAAAATTTTGAGGGAGTTAATTTCTAAACACATTTTCCTGTCTTACGTGGCAGTTTTGTGAATATTTATCGTTAGGCTGATAAGTTATTAGCCACTCAATATGTGTTTGTTGTTTTGACTAACTATAAATAGACATACATTTTAAGAGCATATAACTCCATAACGTGAGCAGCCATGGTATTGCTATTTCGTACCAATAAAGAAGTTAAGTTGCTTTCTCTAAAGAACAAACTTGTATTCATGTATGATATTTTTTGTTTGTGTAAGACGATAAAACATGTGTTGAAAAATTCATTTCACAGGCTACCGACTCAGGTAGCGGGAGGTCGGGTTAGTGACCTCTGGGTGACCGGCCCGCCGTGACCCGGTCACTCCATCGCCGAGCCAACTAAAAGAGCGGTGTTTGTACGCAGTGAAAAGGGAATAGAAGTATACAGTAAAGTGACAAAAGTTTACCCTGGTGAATGGCTCCAGACTGGCCAAGATGTTGCTGAGGACACTGAGCAAAACCATCTCATCCTGGAAGCTGCTCCACAGCTGAGCTAGGTGGATAAACTGAGGCTGTGAAAACAGGGTAAAAAAGATTTTCTAATACCTCCAACTTTGAAAACTGATATGCAATAATTAGCGCAGTATCTGAAAGCTCATCTTAAACAAAAAAAAAAGACTGCAGTTTAAACATTGGTGTAGTACATGGCTTGCCTGTAGATCATTCAAGTTGTGCAAATGTAGAGGAGGCAATGTACAGTTTCAGTGGGCAATGTGTTTCTATATCTGGTTATGTTGTTCAGAAACTCTTTATGTGGGATGTAATGGGGTCCTTCGTGGGACATGATGGGACAACAAGCAGGTGATAAGAACCTGACCATGGCTCTCAAGAGCGTTTGAACAGTTTTGCCGGTTTTTTCTATTGCCCATCAATTCATTCTCTTCTCCTTTTTAAGTGCAGTTCAGTGTTCATTGATGCCACAAAGCATGCTCTAGAAGAGATAAATTGTTAAAAAAGTGCTCAGTAGAAGTCACTTACATAAACTTGAGCTGTAGGCACTGCTGTCTTCGATTGTACAGTTGCTTGAAGCTGTTTCATCCTGATTGCAAGCTGTCCTTGCAAATGGCCAACTTGATGGGCACAGCTGATGACATCATTCTGAGAAGTCAAAATATATAAGTTGAGGTAGCTGCATTACAGAAACATTAGTCTTAAAAAAAACAACTAAATACCTAAATATCGAATCACGTGAACACATTACCCATAAAAATAAAATAGCACCAACATTGCATAAATAGGAGACAATAATTAGTACAAAATTTGTTGACTAAAACAGTATGGTTGATATAAGGTACAATAAGAATTCTAGCCTCTCATTTAAGCACTGATAACATTTTTCAACTTAAATTAAAAGGTTAAATATTTCATCACGGTCAGAATAGATCTAATAATTCAAACAGTTATAGAAAATTACTGAATAAAAAGATTACCCACCAGAATGATTCTTAAGAAAGTCTCATGCTGTCTAGTGTTGATAAGGGCTTCCTTTAGGAGCTGAATGGAGGGTCCCTCCTTCGGTTGGCCTTTATGCATTTCTTCGATGAGAGCGGTGTACTTGTAAGCACTCTGCAGTGTGCCTTGAATTTCTCCATCCACACTCTGGGTTGTTGCTGGGATAGCCTCATTCAAAATGGCAGGCACTGGAGAAAATAACACCATAGTGTATATATGCTTCGATGTGAGTGTTTATACCCAAATGTGGGTAGTACATGTATGTATGCTAGTGTGCAAATTTACTTTACGATGGCACACCAGAAATGGAATTTTAGTTGCAGAATCGATTGAAAAGTGATGCCATGAGGGGTGAATAAGCATGCACATTAATTTGTTCGCATGGCTTGTTAGTACAAGTGAGAGTATGTATTTGTTTGTGTGTGTTTGTGTGTGTGTGTGCGTGTTTGTGTGTGTCTGTGTGTGTGTGTGTGTGTGTGTGTGTGTGTGTGTGTGTGTGTGTGTGTGTGTGTGTGTGTGTGTGTGTGTGTGTGTGTGTGTTAGTTGTTTTTTTAAAATGTAGGTGTTATTTTCTCTCATCAACACAATTGCATGTGCTTATGGGTGTGCAGAGAGTGATATATGAAGACTAGAATGTACAGTACCTTCTCTGCAGTCGGGAAAACTTTTCGAATATTAAAAAACATCATGGCCATTTAAAAGTCAAGACACTTTGAGGAGTTAAAATGTTCTATGGCAATATAAGCAGGTGTATCAGACCAAAAAATTATACTCACAATCATCAATGCCTTCTCCTCCTTTGCCACATTCCTTGTTGAAGAGTCGAATTCCAGTGACAATCATTGTGAGCTCAGTCAGCTGTCTCTCTTTCTCTCGCTTTGTCAGAGTCATGAAGGTTCCAAGCTCAGTTTGGGGGAACACAGACTGCAGGGCAGCTGGGAGTCAACAAACATAGTCTTTTATTAAATTTTAAAAAATATAGTTGTACTTTCATTTAATTCCTGTATATTTATGTGGCAATGAACACTTTGTGACTGAAAATGGAAGACAGCATACAGAATTAGTAGATGAATATGTTTGAAACAAAAATCTAAAAAAACTGCATAATTAACCCAAACTTATCCAAATTACTGTGCAAGTGTAGTGACCGTAATTGATAATTTTCAAAGTTGACCACATACATAGATAAAAATAATTACAATACCTGTTGCCTCCCGAACAACAGCTATATCAGTCGGACTGCCTAATCCAGATCGCAACAACACAGCAGACACAATTTTGCGGTAGAGGCTTTCAAGCTCTTCACGGGTCCGTGCCCTGCTGTCAGTGATTTCTCTGATAACAGGCAGTAGACGAGACTCAAGCACTCGACGATGCTCATCAAGGAAGTCAGCTGAAAAAGAATTTGGCTAGAATCAGAAATCGAGGTTGTGAAGCCATCCCAGTTTATTCCCCCGGTGAAATATTGATCATAAATTTTAAAAGACTGCAACATGGTTTCAAAAAGGTGGTAATTTTTATCCCTTAAACCAGCAAAGATTGTGCCTCTTATTTACTGTCTTTTTCATTCCACAATCTATAATTTTTGGGATGATATTAAAAACCAAAGACAATACATGGGTCTACAATGCTATAAACTGTCTTAAAATGCTTATCGTCGCCAGAGGAGAAATAATATTTTTCTCTTATTTTCCTCATATTGCAATACCTCTTTGCTGTAAGCAGGTACCACACCAGGCTAAGAACATTTGTGTCACGACGAGGTGAAATCAGGCACTCGTCAATTTTTTGGCATATGGAGATAATGTTGTTACCTTAAAGTTTGTTTATTTGTCTTGCTTTTGGTAAAAAAAAGTACCGATCTATTTTCAATAGAATTTGAGATATTTGCAATTGAAGGAGGTGGGGGTTGCCTTGTTTCAGAGGTAAAATTAGTGAGAAAATGGCTGCCAAAGTTTGGCAACTTCAAAAGCTTTCGAGTCCTTGGAAACTAAATTTACATTTTCTGTGCCTTTAATCAACGTTTTTCCAGCAAAATCAACACAGTAGCCTAATGTATTTTTAATGGACATAAAGATACTGAGCCAAAAGATTAAAATTCACCCCAAAATTGCATACAGGAACAAAAAATGCTGCTTTCTTCGATATAATTATTTTGACGAGCGCCTGATCTCATTAAGATGCCTCACATTTGTTATTGCTATACTAGCATGATATCTAATAATCCTTTTTCTATGAAAGAGGGTATCCTTTGTTCTAATCAAATGATACTGACTGCACGTTAGTGATCAGAAAAATAGACTTCACATAGGAGCAGGTTCCTCACCTCGAGTCGTGTAGTTCATATCAAAATACACTTGCATTTTGACCGTGTCCAAGGCTGGTGACCGAGAGTCCATGAGACGATCCACACAGAGCTATATCCCCAAGAAAACAAGAAAAACAGAAACACACCATCAAAGATAATAACCACCACCTTTGTGATCGAAACCATATTATTGAAACCAATAAATCTACAAAGACTGCTTCTAGAATGTGTAACCTATAGGCCTACAGTAACTCTTTTCAAAGTTATAAGCTAACTGCTGAAGCAGTCATATTATTTGTACAGGGTAAAGAAAAATGTTAAAAAATTTGAAATAATTTTGATGAACAATGTTTCGTCTAAATGCAAACAAATGAAAGACAGAATTCCCTCAAAAATTGTAATAATAATGTGGGGGAGGGGGTTGGGAGGGGGGGGGAGGGGGGGGTTGAGGGTGTTGTAGTTGTTGTTGGTTTGTTTTTGTGGTTAGCTTTTTTTGTTACTGATTTTTTGCAAAGGTAAAAGTAAAATGTAAGACAATGAAGACTGAGTGCCCTGGTAAAAAACACTAGGTCGCCACCACTCGGAGAATGAGTGATGCTTCTATTACAAGTTCCCGTTTACGTCCATTGTTACTTTCTTACATATTAGGCAAACAAAACAGTGACCAGTAATCTCACATTCGATTTGTGTATGAGTTGTGGGTGGGGCTTATAGGTTATGACTGATCACACTCTTCCCTCACCAGCGACTGAAAATTTATTGTTACCCATTGGTCAATTTGGGTAAACATTCATTGGAGGGATAAACAATAACGACAGGTGAAGGGACTATGACGGCTAGTCCACAGCGCCAGGGTCCTATTAAGAATTTATGACAAAGCATTGGGCGAAGCATGACCACACTTGACTGTCTGAAGCAGGTAAATTTGATCGTGGGTTGATAAAATAAGGTGGCTGCGGCCGCGTTGGACAGGTGACCGTTTTACACAATCAAATTACATAGAAAAAACACAAGGAGAGAAATGGAAAGTGGCCATTTGTACAGGTGGCCGTGTCACACAGGTGGCCCATGGCAGGTTCGACTGTACATCCTATATGGTGTCTGAGGATGTAAGGGTAAATACTTACTCTAATGAGTTTCTGAACATCATCCTTTGTTAACGTGCGATCAACATTGAACTCGTTTGAAGGGTCCAGGACAACAGCTTTCACCTAGATTTTAAAAACAAAATTGATTTAGCAGAGGAAAAGAAAGCTCTCTATAGAGTATACAAAAAAGTTCAAGAAATGATTTAGTATGTTGCTCATTTTTCACATTAACTGTGATGAATATAAGGAAACAAAAAAAGTTTCTCGTCTATCAAAATGAAAGTATATCAATACATAATATATATTATACATCGTATGGTAAGAGTTTTATCGTGCTAGTAACTGCATTTAACATAATACATACGCATATGTTATACATAATATATAAAATATATATCATAGGGCACATATTATACATTCCAGCATTGCTTGTATAAGAATGACTTTGGTGCAGAAGTGTAATTTTTAGACGTAAATAATAGTAGAAAGTCTACAGTCTAAGTAAAACGTACTTCGTTTTGACAAAACTGATGTAAAAGTTTGGACAATGAATTAAATTTGGGCTTAGATGTAAACTTTCATGGAGGAAAAAGGTCCAAGGATGTAATTTAATATTATTAACTAGATCAAACTCAAGACTGACCTAAGACAGCTATTCAATTGACCTGGAGTGCATATATACAGATAGACACAACACGATAAAATACGAATCACATCAGGTGAAGATTTTCTTGTTTCAATTGCCGAAAGACACAAGAGTGAACCTTGAAAACGTCATCTATTTGTAGCACATGATTGTATTGCAACATATAAAAAAATACTGTTTAATTTGAGGTAGCAAATTAATAAGAAGAATGTGCCATGATACGCTGGAATCATGTGCTCGTCAGTTTTGGGGCACATATATATGGAGTTATTGGTACAGTCTTTAAGCTCATTCTTTTGTCTTGCTAATGCCACCCCCCCCCCCCCCCCCATCTATACAGAAAAGAAGTCAACTTATTTTCATTTGAAGGAGATGGGGGTCGTCTTGCTTCAGAGGTAACATTATAAGCGAAAAATATGGCCATCAAAGTTTGGCGACTTCCAAAGCTTGAGCAGGGTCCTTGAAAACAGCAAATTTACTTGGGGGGGGGGGGGGGGGGATGGGGGGATTTGAATACCATATTTCTGCAAAATTCACATAAAAATGTACATGTTTTTATATGGACAAAAATGGTGTTGAGCCACTAAATATCCCAAAAAGAATTTAGAAAAAAAAAACAGGCCAAAAATGTTGGCTACTTTGATTTAATTATTTAGACGAGCACCTGATTGTACCACAATGACACACAAATAGTTTCCAGTTTACAAACCATGAAAGCCACCAGTGTCTCTGACACAGCTTGACCTTTTCCAGCACATTCCTGAGCAATTTCCCTGATGATGTTTTTAATGACACTTTCTGCTTGAGCTCGAGACATTTTGCTTTTTTTTAGTGTATCTGTGGATATCATAAACTTCTATATAGCTCCAATAGTAAACATTATTTCCATTCAAGGTTACAGTATGAGAACATTGAGTGATCCCAATTAAACTAAAAGAACTGTTTACCTCTGCCAATGAAATTTGCAAATGGCCATGCAATAATCTCTTTTTCAAGGCATTAAACCGGGTAACTCTCTGGAATGACAGTAGAAAGAACAAACCAAAAACCAGTCTCAAGTCGACCCTAAATACTTAGGCAAAAGGAAAAGAATTTCAAATTGAGAGCATTACTACATCATTACTACAACAGAGAAATTTGAGCAAAGCTCAGTTTCGATTCCGAAAGGGAAGAGGATGCATGGATGCTGTATTCGCATTACGACAGATATGTAAAAAAACAATCGAACACAACAAAAAATCCAACATCGTCTTTATAGACCAGGAGAAGGCTTTTGACAGAGTAAACCATGTAAAACTCTGGAAGATACTCGAAAAGTATAGCGTCAGAGGACAAATGTTAGATAATGTCAGAGCTCTATATACCAACAGCAGAACTAGGGAAGGCAATACAGACTGGTTCAAAGTAAGATCTGGAGTACGATAGGGATGCGTTCTTTCTCCCCTCCTGTTTATAATATATATGTACACAATAACGCAAGACGCAAACCAAAGCCCAGAAAACCTAAATGAATTTCTGTTAGCAGGCGACCAATGTCTTATTCATCATGACAAACAAAGCCTCCAAAATCACACTACCGAACTCAACAACAGCTGTGAAAAATTCAACATGAAAATAAGCACATCAAAAACAGAAGTTATGAAAGTGAGCTGAAACCATAGTCTCCTGAATATCCATGTCAATAGTAAACAACTGAAACAGGTGAAGGACTTTAAATATCTTGGCAGCACTTTTTCTGAAAACATGTTCATAGATAGAGAAATAGAAATGCGAACTAAAAAAGCAAACGCTGTCACCTACCAGCTCGCACCCCTCCTATCTCATCCAAACATCTCCACGGACACAAAGAGACAGCTTATCACCTCAATACTCATACCAACATAATGTTATCAGTGCCAGACCTGGACTTTAAGCAAAACCCATGGAAGCAAAATCACTGCATGAGAAATGAAATGTCTCCGCAAAACCCTTAACATCACTATATGAGACAGGCAGAGAAATGAAGAAGTAAGAGCAGCTATCGGCACTGAGTCCTGCCTGCATTACATAGAAAGACAGAGGATAAAATGGTCTGGCCACCTGTTATGCATGTCACCTGACCAGCAAGCCTCGAAAGCCTAAAACCCCAAGCACTCAGGTTATAAAGGAAGAGGAAAGCCACACAAAAGGTGTATCGATGGTGTCAAGGAAACCCTAAGAAAACATAACATCACAACTGAAAGGGCTGCGGAGCTGGCCTACCATACAAAACTGCATCTCCCCTCGACGATTAACAGCAACAGAATATGAAAAAGTAAAAAGTAAAGTAAAGTACCACATCATTGATGAACAAAGGAAAAAATTACACAGAAATACACATTTTGATTTGGACACTACAGTGCCGAATCCAGGGGTGGTAGTTTCAGCAGACTCCATGCTGTCAGGTTGGCATGACAGGGGTTAGCTCCCGCTCTGTGTGCACTTGAAACCGATTGTGGGGTTATATACCATGACAGTTTTACACACTTTTTTTAAAGCTAATGAATGACAACAGGGCTTTTAACATACGAAGTGTTCAATTTGAGATTTTTTTCCAAGTCTAAAAAAGATTTGTAATAAAGAAAGATACAGAAGGTCATTTTTACCATCATCTATCAAAATATTATGAAATGTAGGTAAATAACTGCAAACTTTTCAATATTTTCCTGTTCTATATTCATTTATGGTTATTTTGATGTATCATTTGACTAGGTGCAAACATATGAGTTTCACCAAAGATTACTAATTTTTTATTTTCAAATTTTATCCGCATCCTATCAAAATTGTGTTGCATAATCGTCTCTTACTGGAACCAAAGTTGAAAAATACATAAATAAACATTACAGATATATTCTACAAACCATACTGAAAATATTGGTATATAATACGTTAAATTGATATTTATTTGAATTTGTGGCCCCAATAAATACCTTTTAACTGCCCACTTGTCATCATCTCATTCGCCCTCCCGAAAAAAAATTAGTCCACCAGCCGAAAATAATACGTAGCGAATGAAGAGAACTGAGAGCGGAAATTTTCTTTTTTCTACTTTTATAGAACATCATGCACTTTTAAGGAGCAGCCGGCAGTGGTGCTGCTGTTGATTAAATGACTTTCAGCTGCTGCTGAGAAGAGCAGTTTTGGCCAGTTTTTGGTGCTGTGCAGAGTGATGTATTATATCTATGCAGCAAACTTTTTAAAAATATCAACTTTATATTAAATCAATGAATTAAAATATCCAACCAGAGCAGTTTACAAACCATGGGAATTAGATCTAGTTAAATCTATCTTAAAATAAAAAAAGACAGAAGTAATTTAACATAGTTATTCACACCGAAATGACTATTCGGACTCGAGTCCGAATATGAAAAAATGTTATTCGGACTCTGATTCTTGTCCAGTATGACATCACTTCCGACTTCCTGTGACTCGTGACTCCGGCTTCCTGTCCTGCCTCACTCGTGACTCGCCTCAGGCTGGGTAGAGACCGGGATCACTTCGGGCAAAATGGCGTTAAATTGTGCCGGAGCCGAGTTTTTATCTTATGATGAATTTGAGGCCAGCCTGAAAAGTTAGAGCGCTTCTAATAAATGTTTATTTGTCAAGAGGTCATCAGAAGCAATTAAAGATGGCTCGTTAGCGTGTGTCGGTGTCGGATGGGCAGCCTGCACATGTGTGGCTGTGTGTGTGTGTCGGGTAAAGGGGGGGGGGGGCGCTATCGGTCCGGGCATTGAACGTCGCATACGCGTCAGTCCCCCCCCCCCCTCCCCCCGGCAACTGATCATTATTACAATAATAAGCTAGTCTTGACGTAGATCTACGTAATGAATTGTGCGCTGGTCTATGGAATCAAAAGTTGCCGTATGCTCGGCTCTACACAGCAACACAACTTTTTCTTGGTAAACAATCGAGATGACACAGGCTTGTGTATTTGAACGAATCTGTCTTACACAGCTCATATAATATGGCAGGTGCCAGGAGATCTGCTAATCTTAAATTTTACCTTTTTCTACAACAAAGAAAGTGGGAAACATGGGGGGTAGGGGGGGGCGTATCAATGAGGCAGCGGGCATTGGATCGGCAGACAAGGTGTGGGGGAAATTTTAACTAAAAAATGGCGGAAAATTGGAAGCACTGAACGTTAGATCTATAGAACGAAGACACTTACTTTTTTCCGGACCCGTGTCCGAAAAACATTTTTTCTTATTCGGAGTCCGAATATGAAATTCTTTTATTCGGACTCCAGTCCGAATATGAAAAAATGTTATTCGGACTCGACGGCCTATTCACACACTAGATAAGCTCATGCATACTCTATCTTATAAGCTAAACATTTGTAACACTGTCTAAAGTCAGTTGAAGATTTTAAGTTCAGTTTTATCTTATGAAATTACTTACGCTGACCTCGACTATAAAAAAAAAAAAGTTCAAATGCAAGTTCATAATCATAGCCTAGGCCCCTACTTCATATAGACTAGATCTAGATCTAGATTTAGATTTATATTTTAAGTTCACACGAGTAGATTTTAGATCTACCAGGACCCTGCAAACGGGGGAAAGGCTTTATGGTGACCATCCTCATCTTAAAAAAACATTACCCCAGTTATTACATTGAGATGGTTTGACATATTCTTACTTTTCACGGAAAGAACACCAGAATTATGCGAGCGGTAGCCAACAGCTTCTGTTTTGACTGTGATTTACAAACAAGACGCCATATTGTTATCCTTAGCGACAGGATGCGTGCTCACTCATCGGAAGGGATAATTGTCACGTGACTGTTATGGCTGCCTGCTTGAAACACAATCAGCGATCAGGGAAGTAACTATGATCGCGGAAGTGAAGTGTTCTGCTACACTGAATCGTTAGAGGCAGATAACAATGAAGATTTGGAGAAAAACTGATAGTCGTACTAAACTTGGAGTTGGTAAGAACTTTAAATTACAGGTTTTAGCTCAAGCTAGATTCTAGACCACTTAAACTGACTTCGATTATTTATATTATCGAGCATCTCTTGCAGAAAGTGAGAAGTCCAGTCAGCCTGAGGCAGGCTACCAATTTTAATACTTCCTTTTTTGCCTTTTGACTTGCTTTAAATTTAAAAAAAACAAAACAACAAAAAACGTTTGGCCCGTTTCATGAATGTTAACCTTTACGCAGTTTTGTTCAAGTTTAGGGTAAGATTGAAGAATACCGGACCAGCGGACTGACTTTGCCTCTATGTCTCAACCTTAGGAATTAATATTTAATTTTCCCGTTTTTAATATCTCTCAATGGAAAATCTCGGACCGGTAGATCTATTCATTAAAATTTTGTCAGGGGGGAGACCCCCCTGAACCCCCCCTCCCCCCTCCTCCACCCCAACCACCCGCCCCACCTACCCCACTTTTTTGTGCAATAATGTACGAGTGGTCCGGTATTCTTCAATCTTCCCAAGTATAGATTCTAAATTAGATGTTCTATTTTTGATAGGCCTAGAAATCTATACTTTCTTCTAAATCTAGAAAGTGTTCAATTCCGGGGGAAGACTTCCGTAACGAGCGACCACTCTGAACTCAATGAATGTTAATTATATTATACTCAATGGCTATCAAAATCAGTACGGAAGGCCTAAAGTCCTAAAGCCAGTATGTTACTAGATCTACCTACTAATAGATCTAGATCTAGATCTATTATAATGAAATTGCCATGGTTTACGTTCTTAACTCCAGGATTTACTTTAACTCTTGTCCTGCGTCTGTGCTGAGACTGAGATGTGAATCTTATCAGCAACCGATTACGTCGGACGTTCCGGGCAGGCCGCCGGGGTCACCCAGTGTGTACTGTTAGTGTACAGCATGTGCGCCGGGAAACGTGTGTTTTCGCCATGAATACCGTGGGAGTGTGTTAATCGACAATGAGAATAACACTCTTTCTTTCATAGCTTTCTAGTATAAAGTTATAAAGGGTTACAAACACATCATGAATAACCCCCTCTCATAAGCTGATAAGACATTACGAGTAGTTACGCCCATTCGAATAACCTTTCTAGACGCTCCTGATATGTTTCTAGAAGGAGTACAAAACACTACTGCATCACATAGTAAAATGCTCAGGTTGAATTGAGAGGGAGGGGCGCATGAATTTATAATATGTTATTTTGCAAGCAGTCTAATCAGGATCCAACCAAAGACAAGAAAACAACAAACTTCAAAGCATTAAGCCCAAACTGGGTCCGCGAAAACCTGTGGGCCTCTCCAGAAGAGACGATGTCATTTTTACTCGATTATGCATGGGACACACATCCCTGACATTTTATACCTCCTTCAGGGAGATGGGAAGCCGTTCTGTGTCGGATGTGACACAGATTTCACCATTAGACACATTTTAACAGAATATAATCTAGACTTCGGAGAGACCCGAAGGAAATATTTTAGGTGCGAAAAATTGCAAGATTTGTTTTCCGTCGTTGATCCAAACTGATTCCTTGATTTTATAAAGGCCTTTGTGGCCTTTATGGAAAATTTTAAAAAACCTTAAAACTTTTAATGATATATTTTAAAAGTTAATTTGAATTAACTCATTAGCTGTGCCGAGCCGTGGGCAGCGGTGCGGCGACAGTGTCTTCCGTACGCTCGGCTCGAGAACCGTCCTGTAATTCTAGCTTAAATTTTTATTCCAATCCTCATATTCATGTTAAAATAAAGGTTATAATATAACATTGACTTCCGGTCCAGGCTTTCCACTGAAAATCAGAAGTTTAGATTCAGTTTTGAAACGCGATTTCGTAGTTATACGACTTTGTTTTATCGGGATGCCCGAACTATAGCCCAGACACCAGTTTTAGTACTTTTACACAACAAAATGTATCATTATTTTGCTCACTAAAGAAATGTATGACTCTTCTTTATAATATTGATACTATTGGACTCAAATTGCCAGTAAATCAATATTTTTGCTAGATCTAGGTTGAGATCTAAATTGTCAAAATATTTTTTTCTCCCCAAAATCACTACTTTTTGGTGAAATTACACAAAAAGTACCACTGAAGACATGTATTCTGAATAATTTCATATGAGATAGAGAGTGTTTTTTTTTCTGTTTGTGAATGCATACTTATTGTCCTTTTTTCAAGATTTAAAAAAAAACATTTTAAAAAAAAAAAATATCGGATGTTATGATCCAAATGTACAAATTTTATGGAATGTATCATGTAAATAACTGCAAATTTTTCAATATTCCCAGTTCTATATTCATTTATGGTTATTTTGCTAAGTGCAAACATATTTTTTTTAGTTTCAGCAAAGATGATTTATTTTTTATTTTCAAATTTTATCCGCCTCCAAGCAAAATTGTTTTGCATTTATTATCAATCGCCTTTTGCAGACAAAAGTTGAAAAATACACGAATAAACCTGACAGATGTATTCAACAAAGCATACTGAAAATTTTGGTACATGATATGTTGATATTTATTTGAATTTGTGGCCCCACAGACCTTTGAACTGAGCGCTAGTCATCATCTCATTTCGCCCTTCCGAAAAAAATTCGTCCACAAGCCGAAAATAATATGTAGCGAATGAGTTAAGATTTTATTTGCACCTAATTTTTAGTATTTTAGCATTTTAGTAGAGGTGTTGACCAGAATCGGGCTGTGCAGTGAACTTGCGAATAGAACCAACTTTTTTTCGCTCGCTCATATGGCTTTATGCAGTTGCGTGCGTCGTAAATCTCTTATGAAAACAAACAGGTGAGATCAGATGAAAGTAGGTCTATTTATATAGGTACATGGGCTGTAAGGGTTGAGGGTGAAACCCCGGACGCTCTCTGGCAAGCCAGCTTCAACCAAGTCAACTCCCCGTCCTTGTCGAGCAGCCTGGGGACCCTTGCTCTGTGCATAGGAGTAGGGGTTGCAGGCGGAGCTCTGGCCAGGAGGTACCATAGGCCTGTGAGGTGCGAAATGAGCAACGACCCTTTGGCTCGTAGAAGGTAGGTCTGGCATCACAGCAGGCCAACCTGTTCATTCCGGAACTCACTGTCGACATCTTCTTCCCTCCCTCTCGTGGGAGCTCTACAGACGGGGCATGGTACCCACAGACTGCCAGATGACTCATTGTGAGATGCCTCCGCAGAACCAGAAGGCCTTGTAGCTGTAAGGAATAGGCTGCCTGGAAACAGATGACGTCCCTACAGATATCCTGGCAAATGCTCGCTGACCCATGACGTGATGATCCTCTGAGTAGATTTGGCCATCCCTCGAATTATTCTGCCCTATGAACGGAAATGTTAATAGCAGATAGTCAGGAGACAGCTGGTGGCGGGGATTGGGCAAACACAAGCTACGCTTGGTGATGTAGACGACTCACTGTGGAAGGAATGCGTTACCCCTTACTCCCTTACTCAATGGGACCCCTTACTGGACTGCTCAGATGATCACTTGTCATTGGTTGCACTTTGAGGCTCCCATCTCTCAGAACTAGAGTGTGCCTACACCCCCTACGGTTGTCTACTGTCTAAGAAATCCCTGTGAAGGTTGATGGAAAGCAGGACAGTGAACATTGCACCTTTGCTCTCTTGTGGCAAGATGTTTGGGCACAAGCTAGTATCAGGACAAGACTACCACCTACCTGAGATCCTACAGGGATGCATACAAGCCTTCACAACCCCCAAACCAATAAAATGCCTCTACAACAGATGAAACTATACGAGCTCGGATGTCACCTCGGTTATCAAGGTCCACGCTCTCTGCCTTCACCCGGGGGCGGGAGTGACAAGTCAGCTACATAGGACCCACACTGCAGGTATAGGGGCCACAAGCAACACACAGACACTACAGACCCCCCCAACCTACAGACACACAGACATTGAATATACTGAACATCTCATCAATACAGAACAAGAAAATGGAGCTTGCAAAGACACTGTCAGACTTAAGAATTCATGTAGCCCTGATACAGGAAACCCAACTACCCAAGCGGATAGAGCTCCATTTGACAGGCTACTCAATGTACCACTGCAATTGCACCAGATGTCAAGGTATTGCAACCTTCATCCGTAATGACATCACCGCTGAGGTTTCTCACCCAGAAACCGATGACGAGACTGACATACAGGAAGTGAATGTGCAGCAGTCAGATGGAACAACCTACACCTTCTACAATGTATACTGCTCACCGAGATCTACTCTCGAGCTGAACTTCCCGAATACAGACCATAAATATACCATTCTTGCGGGAGATTTCAATCTCCACTGTGGGGTTACAGTGATACAGACTTGACAGGAACAGTTCTAGAAAAACTACTGAGATCAAGCAGCCTCATTTCACTTCAGAATGACAAGACACCTCCCACCCTACTTCATAGAGCCGTCACCCGCACTGCTCCATGACTGTCCTTGATGACATAGGAAGTGACCACCGCCCAATCCTACTGCAAATATCCAGCAACAGGAAACGAGAACCGACCAACCCCATAAGACGCAGTTGGAACTACAAGAAAACAAACTGGGAGCTCGACTAAGAGAAATTTGAAAGTAGACTCCTGGATGTATGCACGACCAACCCAATTGATGAGTGCTACAAGGACATCACCACAGCACTAAAGACATCTGCTAAGGAAGCGATTCCAAGAGGGAACCTTAAGAAGTTCTGCCCTTATTGGGACAAAGAACTGGAACAACTGACCAAGGCCAGAAAGAAAGCCAGACGGCGTGCTGAGAAGAACCCAACAGCCGAAAACAGAAAGCACTATAACTACCTGACTGCCAAGGTAAAACTGAAGACCAAAAGTGCGAAAAGACAAACATGGAGAGAACACTGTGGAGAACTAGACCTGCGTAAGGACGGGAGGAAAGCCTGGAACCTGCTTACCAATCTCTCAGGTACAAAAAGAAGGAAAAACCCCACCCCAATGAAACCAACTGAGAAAGGAGAAACATGCAGAGCTGAGGTTATGAATAAATACTTTGCTAGCATCAGCAAGAAAGGAAACCAGAACAAACTGAGCCACACAATAAAGCAGCTGACCAAAAGGGCAGAACAGACCCCCAAGGCAAACCTGGAGGTGTTTGAGGAGTTCAATCTGACGGAAATGAAGGCAGCCCTCAAAAAGTGTAAAAAGAGAAAGGCCCCTGGACCAGACCACGTCACCAATGAGATGATCCTCAACCTGACAGAGTCTTCACTCTTGATACTCCTGGACTTCTTCAATAGGACCTGGAATGAGGGACAGCTCCCAAAAGAATGGAAGAAAGCAAACATCACACCGATACTAAAAAAGGACAAACCAGCAAGCCAGCCTTCAAGCTACAGACCATTCTCTTTAACATCATGCCTGGGTAAGGTCGTCGAGAGAATGGTCAACGACAGACTGTACTGGTGGATGGAAAACACTGGAACAATCAGCACATCATAGGCAGGATTCAGGAAAGGCAAAAGAACTATTGACCACCTCATCAGATTTGCCCAGATGACCAGCGATGCCTTTCAAGATAAAGACAATGTTGTGGCCGTCTTCATCGACCTGAGGCAGGCGTATGACCGTGTGTGGAGACTGGGACTGTTCTACAAAATGCAAAAGCTTGGGATAGCAGGAAAGATGTACAGTTGGATCAAGAACTTTCTGTCTTGCAGAACTATCCAGACGTCATGTGACAGCAAGATTTCTTCACAGAGGACACTTGAGGAAGGCCTCCCATGAGGACTACCCCAAGTACCTTGGTGTACAACTGGACCGAAAGCTGTCTCTCAAAGAGCACTTAGAGGAGCTGACCAAGAAAGCCACCTCCAGACTAAACCTCCTGAAACACCTTTCATTACTCAACTGGGGAGCTGACAAAGCAACCCTCCGACAACTTTATATAGGGTATGTCAGATCTGTGATTGACTACATACCACTACAATCCATAGCCAGCCAAAGCTCCCTTTCACAGCTTGACAGAGTACAGAACCAAGCACTCAGATTTGTTTCTGGCGCGATGAAGACCACGCCTACAAGCGCCTACAAAATCCACACCAACATAGAATCACTGGACCTCAGAAGAAAGAGTGCCACACTCAACACCTATGAAAAATTTGAGCGGCTAGAAGACACGAACGAAAACAGGAAAATGGCAGATGAGTGGGAACCAAGAACATGCATCCAGAAGACCTACTTTATGCAAGAAGCAACAAAACTACTTGAGGAGTTTGACCCACCCAAGAACAGAGAACCAATCATCTATGGCGTCCGGGTCACACTGCAGTGGGTGCCTGGCCATTCTGGAGTACCAGGGAATGAGACTGCAGACCATCTATCAAAGACTGGAGCGAGCCTGCCCCAG